TCCAGCAGCTTGGGCTTACCCAGCTACCATGACAACAAGAAGAGTTGGATAAAATAAAAGTGATATTCAATAAGCATAGTACCTCTGAAGATTTTAAGAGTTAACGTTATGAGGACATGGTAAGTACAAAACGACCATAAATTAGAGAACATCAGAACTTTATATTAACTATGTGTGAAAACTTAATTGTTAATCTAAAATCTCTGTGATCGCATAGATCAGTCTTCGCACCCCTGAGCATGTAGCCCCTTCACCTCTAGATATATTCTTTTTCTGATGGCTGACGTGAATGAACTATGACCGTAACACAACATTTAATATTATCCAAAAGGAGAATTCAAAAGACAGGCTGACCTTTGGAAATGTCACTGGCTTAGTAACTTTTAAGATGCTTTAATCTCACAGTTTTGTTCACAATGTCTAAGAGCCAAAATACTGAAAACTGTCAGCAGCCTGCCTCTGTCACTAGCATACCTGAAGTTGAAGTGTGTAAGCAGACAGTAATGAGACTCCCTGTCTAAATAAAAAATATCTCAGAATCTAACATTAAGATTTGTTAGGCTTTATGATTAAAATGTATGGGTCATGTTTCTTATTGTCAGGTACCTTGCTGTCTTTCTATTAAATTCAAGATTCCTTCAATCTCTTTAGAATATTATGTCAGCAGCAATGCGAAATTGCAAGTTCTTTACTAGACATCATTAATGAAGTAAAAAAAAAAAAAAAAAAGGACATTGCAGTAAAATTTTCCTCACTCTTTTTCTCTGCTCTCATTGGTACTTCATTCAATGATATATTGAGCATAGTGCATTACAAGATAGAGCAGAGCTTCTCAAAATCTGGTTCCTTGTCCAGGGACTCATAGCAAAATGTTACCTTTGGATAGTTAAATCTCAGGCCCCATGGCAAACCAATAATATTAAAAAATTGTGAAGCTTGACAATGTGTGTTTTTACAAGCCACCCAGGCAGGACAAGCCACCATCCAGGCAATTCTGATGTGTGCTCACATTTGGGGACTGCCAGACTAAGCTATCACAAGAGCCTCAGGGCATCATGACCCTCCAGTGCTGATTATCTCCAGGACAATGCACCTTTGTTGATTATCTCCAGAAGCAAGAGTTCACTAACTCCAAAGTAGCTCATTGAACCTTTGGAAACTTCTTGGAAATATTAGAAAACTTCTTTATCTGAAGTCCCAAATCATTAAAATCTAAGTAAGGAACTAGTAATTACAGTTTTATTTCTAAGGTGCTTAGTATAAAATAATATGTTCTGAATTCTAGTTGAAAATTATTACCAAATTCTTAATTTTGTGAAAAAAATTTTTTTCTCTTTCAAAGTCATTCTCTTATTACTCAAAATTCTTTTAAAAATGTATCAGAAATTCATTGTGTTGATTTACAAGTAAATCTGGATTCTCATCATTAGTACCTATGTGCTTTAGATAACCACCACCCTAGTGCCTGAAAATTGTTAAAGGAGCACAACTTGAACGTTCAGGTAACGTTAATGTACTATCCATTTGAATTCTCAATGTATTCACAAAGGCATTATAAGTGTATGAGATAATAGGCATGTTAAAATACTCAGAGACCATCATGCAATATATACCTGTATTCAAACATTACATTGAACTCTATAAATATGTAAAATTACTGTGTTTCAGTAAATAACCAAATGAACAGAGCTGTTGACTGAATGAGGATTTATCAGTATTGTGTTTCGTTCTTGAGAGTAGCTGGATGCTCTTTCCCAGTTTCTCTATCCTTTCTTGACTTCACTTCCTTACTTTCTCTCTTTTTCATCTAAGTACAGTTTTTTTTTATCCTCTACTGCCAAAAAAAAATAATCTACTTGCTGATAATCTAAATTTCAAAATCTTTCTTTTGCATTTTAGGGAAATATTAAGTCATTTTTAATAAAATCTTACCATTTCCAAGAGTTTTCTTACAGCTATATATCAGTCTGCATTTATGCTTGGTTATTTTGGCATAATGTCTTTTAAAAATTATAGAGAAATTCTAATGCCTGCTATATTATGATTGGGTCTTGAATACATTACACTAAATAAAATTGTGACGGGCCAAACTACATGTGTGTTGACCAGACAAACTCCATTTTACCCGGAGACTCCATTTCATATAAGAAATGTTTCTCCCCTGTGAAAGCCCCGCCTATGTAAACCACCTACTGCTAATCACACCCTGTTTGGCAATGCATGAGGGTTAAAAAATGTTTCTGTTATTCTTACACAATGTGATCTTAAGAAGTGGTTTTATAAGTTATTCTCTTTTTTAATTCCCATTTTTCTTGGGAAGTGTACTATACCCTGAACTGGGTCATTCTGACCCACTTTCTACCTTGCTACGTTTTTTTCTCCCATATTTTTATTGGTGCACTATAGTTGTACACAATGGGAGGATTCATAGATATTCAAACATAAACACAATGTGACAATGTGATTTGACCAATATCACTCCCCTGTGTTTCCCCTTGCTCCCTTCCCCTGATCCTTTCCTCTTCTCTACTAATCTCCCTTGGATTTTTCATGAGGTTCCCCCACCAACTTTCTTTTCCACTTTTTTCTTTTTATTTCAATTTATTTATTTATTCTAATTTGTTATAGATGACAGCAGAATGCATTTCAATTCATAGTACACATATAGAGCCCAAATTTTCATTTTTCTGATTGTACACAAAGAATCACACCATTCATATCATCATACACATACTTAGGGTAATGATGTCCACTTCATTCCACCATCTTTCCTATGCCCATGCCCCTTTCATGCCCTCGCTCTCCATTGCCTTATCCAAAGTTCCTCCATTCCTCCCATGCTTTCCTATCCTATTATGGAACAGCGTCCACATATCAGAGAAAACATTAGGACTTACATTTGGGGTTTGGCTTACTTCACTTAGCATGATATTTTCAAACTCCATCCATTTACCTGCAAATGGCATGATTTTATTCTCTTTTAATACTGAGTTATATTCCATTGTGTGTGTGTGTGTGTGTGTGTGTACCACAATTTCTTTATCCATTTATCTATTGAAGGGCGTCTAGCTTGGTTTCACAATTTAGCTGTTGTGAATTGTGCTGCTATAAACATTGATATGGCTGTGTCACTGTAGTATGCTGTTTTTAAGTTCTTTGGGTATAAACCAAGGCATAGGATAGCTGGGTCAAATGGGTATTTCCATTCCAAGTTTTCCAAGGTATCTCTATACTGCTTTCCATATTGGGTTGCACCAATTTGTAGTCCCACCACCAATGTATGAATGTTTTTTTTTCCCCTACATACTCTCCAACACATATTGTTGCTTGTATTCTTAACTACTGTCATTGTAACTGGAGTGAGATGAAATCTTGGAGTAGTTTTGATTTGCATTTCTCTAATTCCTAGAGATGTTGAACAGTTTTTCATGTATTTGTTGATCAATTGTATATCACCCTCTGAGTTCCTTAGCCCATTTATTGATTGAGTTATTTGGGTTTTGTTGTTTGTTTTTTTCTAGTGTTAAGCTCTTTGAGTTTTTTGTATATCCTAGAAATTAGTGCTCTATCTGATGGACATGTGGTAAAAAATTTGTTCCCATTCTATAGGCTCTCTCTCACTGATTTTTTTTTTCTGAGAAGAAGCTTTTCAGTTTAATCCCATTTATTGATCCTTTATTTTATTTTTTGTACTATAGGAGTCTTGTTAAGAAACTCGAGGCCTGATTTGACATAATGAAGATTTGGGCCTACTTTTTCATCTATTAGGCACAGGGTCTCTGGTCTAATTCCTAGGACCTTGATCTACCTTGTGCTGAGTTTTGTGCATCATGAGAGATGGTAGCTTTAATTTTATTTTGATATATATGGATTTCCAGTTTTCCCAGCACCATTTGTTGAAGAGGATATCTTTTCCCCAATATATGTTTTTGGTACCTTTGTCTAGTATGAGATAACTATATATATGTGTGTTTGTCTCTGTGTCCTCTATTCTGTACCATTGGCCTGCTAGTCTATTTTGGTGTCAATACCATGCTGGTTTGTTATTATTGCTCTGTAGTATAGCTTAAGGTTTGGTATAGTGATGCTACCCGATTCACTCTTTTTTCTCAAGATTGCTTTAGCTATTCTGGATCTCTTATTTTTCCAGATGAATTTTATGATTGCTTTTTCTATTTCTATGAGGAATTTTATTGGGATTTTGATCTGAATTGCATTGAATCTGTGTAGTTCATTGGGTAGTATGATCATTTTGACAATATTAATTCTGTTTATACAAAAGCAAGGGAGATATTCTTTAATTTCTTTCTTTAGTGTTCTGTACTTTTCATTATAGAGATCTTTTACCTCTTTTATTGATTTTATTTTATTTGTTTTGAGGCTATTGCATATGGGATAGTTTTCCTAGGTTATCTTTCAGAGGATTTGTCATTGATGTATAGAAATGCCTTTGAACTACTGGTGTTGATAAAAATTCTGCTTCTTTGCTGAATTAATTTATTAGTTCTAGAAGTTGCCTGGTAGAATTTTTTGGATTATGTTGGTATAGAATCATGTCATCAGCAAATAGTGAAAGTTTGAGTTCTTCTTTTCCTATCCATATCCCTTTAATTTCTTTCATTTGTCTAATTGCTCTGGATAGAATTTCAAAAACTATGTTAAACAGAAGTGGTGAAAGATGTCTTGTTCCAGTTTTTAGAGGGAATGCTTTCCAATTTTCTCAATGTAGGATGATGTTGGCCTTGGGTTTAGCATGGATAGCCTTTACAATATTGAGATATGTTCCTATTATCCCTAGTTTTTCTAGTGTTTTGAACATGAATGGGTGCTGTATTTTGTTGAATGCTTTTTTCTGCATCAGTTGAGATGATCATATGATTCTTATCTTTAAGTCTATTGATGTGATGAATTACATTTATTGATTTTCATATATTGAACCTATCTTGCATCTGTGGGATGAACACCTCTTGATCATTCTGCATTATCTTTTTAATATGTTTAAAAATATGGAATGCTTCATGAAGTTGTGTGTCATCCTTGCTCAGGGACCATGCTAATATTCTCTTTATTGTTCCAATTTTAGTATATGTGCTGCTGAAATGAGTACCTTGCTATGGTTTTGACTAACCGGTAGCTTGCAGTTTTTGACTATAAAAATGTACCCTATCTTCTGCAAAAGGTCAAAAGTTGCACAGGTGACTTGCCTGCTGCCCTTCTGACCCATAGCAGCAAATAAAGTTTCACATCTTGCTTCAATACTCACCCAGTAATTTATTTCAAACATGCCACAACAAAATAAGGTGTTCACAGAAAGGGCAAATATTGTGCGAGACCACTTGTATGAGGAACTTAGAATAGTCAAGTTCATAGAAACACAAGTAGGACAGTGGTTGCGAGAGGACTAATGAAAAGAAATGGAAACAATATTTAATGGGTACAGTTTTTGTGTGGGAAGATGAACAAATACTTTTTTAATCACTGGAGCCCATTCCCCAAAATTATTATTTTTTTTTTTAAATTTTGAGATAGGGTCTTGCTAAGTTGCTTAGGGCTTCACTAATTTGCTGAGGCTGGATTTGAACTTGTGATCCTCCTGCCTCAGCTTCCCAAGCTGCTGAGATTGCAGGCATGTGCCACCATGTCTGGCTTGTCTTACCATCTTTAATAAGCACCATTCATGCCAAACATGCCAACTTTGACTTGGTAATGGTAGAAACAAAAACAAGTCTGGTGAGAAGGCATGAAGACAAGATTTCTTAATAGGACCTCTCTTAAGAGAAGGAAGAGGCAACACTAAGCAGTGTCAGGATGGTTCCTAGAATTAAAGAGAGAGAGAGAGAGAGAGAGAGAGAGAGAGAGAGAGAGAGAGAGAGAGTTAGTTAGTTTCATTGATGTGAAAAAGTTGTTCTCAAAGGGAACAAAGGTTTTGGAATGTTAATTGATTCAGGTATTGTTCAAAGATCTTTTCTTTTCCTATGTCAGAACTTTTACCCTATGGAAAGGTCAGTCAGTCATCCTGACCGGCCACTGTTAATTATTCCTATCAATACTGCTTCCTGTATAAACATGTCTACCTTTTGATAGGGATGAGTTGCTGTAGCTGTTAAGAGAACACAAACGTGGGAAATGTTCAGAGAACACAAATCCTGGCAACCTGGATAGGGTTAAGTTTATCATTGAGCCCCCAGACCTCTCACCGAGTCCACACAATTGAGAACTTTGTCTTAACTCCTGGCTGATTCATTGGAGATTTATTGGTGAATCCAACTCCTGCACCCGTGGCCTAGGTAATGGTCCCTTGGGGTCAGAGAAGGACATATTTGCTTCTTCAGCTTCTGCATATGTAAGTTCTGAAGCTAGGTGGGAGTTCCACGCCTCTCTAGAAAAGTGCCCGCCCACTGGACTGGAGCACTTCCCTGGTGGCTCTTTGATTGCAGTGGAATTGTGTGAATCCCCTCACTCCTAGGCCTGGCTCTGGCCTGGAAAATTTTCCTATCTCCTTGTTCCTGAGAATGATTTCTCAACTACCTGAGCAGCAAGGGTTTTCCGGGCTCTTTTGTTTTGATTGGGAATCCACTCTACAGTAACTCAGCTGTTCATTTTCCTAACACTTGTAAGAGTCTCTGTTCTCTTTCCTTGATCTTGATTCCTCCACTGTAGCATCTCAACCAACTGAAATCCTCTTCTAGGGCCTCTGCTGACATATGCTTCCCCAGCCCCATCCACTTAGTTTGTTGCAGGAGGATTTTATCAAGGGCCTCACTGAGAAACTTCAGTTCGCCACACAGCCTCCCTGAGACCTCTCCTTTCCCACTGCTTTCTCTCCTCCTGCCTTCTCTTACCACCTGTAATCTTCCTTCAGTTCACTGAAGCAGTTGACATGCCCCCTTCCACCCCCAGCTCCTCGACCTCTGTCCACCCCTGACAGACCCTTCTCATCCCATTGCAGCTACTCAGTTTCCTCAGTCGCTAGAACTTTAGCCCTCTGCACTGTCAGAAAAGCTCAGGGGGCTGAACGACTCCCAAAATTATCTACCTGAAGCTAAAACGTAAAATAATAATAATAAATTTAAAAAAGTTGAATTGGAAACAGATTGAATCAGACTCATCCTTGCTTGCTTTCCATAAGACATTTATGAAGTTTGTCCCAGTGTCATGGCATATAAGTCCTAAAGCCTTTGGAATTGCTGAAGTTATATATATATATATATATATATATATATCTCTCTCTTTTTTTTTCTTTTCTTTTTTTTCTTTTTTTTGGCATGTCATAGAGTTGACTAAAGCCTGGCAGCCTCTAGAGGGCTCTAAGATAGAAACTGGTCATCGAATGGAACAAGTCCAGATTAGAGGTTTGGAGCTTTCAGTCCCACTCCCCAATCTCCCGGGAGGGGAGAGGGGCTGAAGATGAAGTTGACCACCAATGGTAAAGAATCATGACTGTATAATGAAATCACCCCAAAGAATAGGACCCAGAGGGCTTCTGCATATCTGAACACAAGGAGGTTCCTAGCTGGTAGTGTGACACCCTCAAAGTACAAACCATTCAGCCAGAAGCACAGGTAAGACAACCTGGGGCTTCCAATTGGCATCTGAAATGGGGAGGGGGTGGTCTTGGGAACTGGGTCCTCAACGTGTTGCATCTGATGCTATTTCCAGGTAGATAGTGTCAGAAGGGAACTGGCATTGTGGATACCCAGCTGGTACCCATGCTTCTGGTAGAAGTTCTTCATACCTTTTGACATCACAGTAGCGTCCCTTGTTGACAGTGGTGTGAGACAGAAGAAAAACAGACACTTTGTTCTTTCCAACATACAGTAGGTCTTACTGTCAAGTTCACTCTGTATAATTTTTCTTCTATTGACCCCCACCTGCCTTTGATTATAAATCCTAACCTGTTCTTTTGTTCATGCCAGTCTCTTTCCACCATAATAACCCATCACTTCTGTCTCAACCCCTATTATGTTGGCTTCCCCTTGAATTAAGTCTGCCTTATAACTTTAGCAAATGCCATTGAGTAGGTTTTTCTTTAATAGAAATCATCATTTAGTTTACATTTTATATGCTTTTTTATTGAAAAGATAAAGCAAATCTCTTTGTAAATCAGTTTCGATTGCAATACTATAAAACGGAACATGTGTACATTGAAAATAATTATTAAAAATCAAGAATTGGTTAAAAACTACTTACTGAGGCAGTGAGACTTGAATTTGTTTTGGAAAAAAAATTAAAAGCAGAATCCCTGAACAGGATATTGTTTTTTTAGAATTACAGATGCCTGTGCTTTCAATCTTTTAGGGCTCTGTCTATTAATTCTCATAACTTCTGTCAGACCTCCAGTGACTACTGGAATTCCCTCTGCTCTGAGTTCCTGTGGAACGTGTGTAGTCAGAGGCTTCCCAACAACAATAGTGATCTCAGAACAGACATGAACAGACATGTAGTGGATATAATCACATATACCAGAGTGTGCACCTTCTATGCTGAGAAGCAGGAGAGGCTGTACCTCCCCACAGGGCAGGCCACCCACTGTGATAGTTAGGTTTACTCTGCAACATCATTTTACAGAGCTCATTCTTACACAGATTTTCTGTGCTTGTGCACTACCTTGGCTAGCACATTTTTCCCAAATCTTATTAAATGTTAAATGCCCCCTTTGGGTAGCAATTTACATGAAGTTTAATTTTTGTGAGTTTATTATTGTATAACCTTAGAAGGGCTTTATTTCTTCTTCTTCATGTGCTAGTCTTGAATGTGTAAAATGTTCATAAGTCCATTGTGCATGAAATCCATTTTCCCAATACCAATATCCTTTTACCAATTCTGGAACTTCTGTTTCTGTTTTGGGTGACTGCCGCCTGCACTGTTAAGCCTGCCTAACTGATAATGCACCCCTACTCCCACAAACTTGCTCTAACTGCTGTCCTCTCTCTGCTCTGCCACATCTTTCCCCAACCAGACCAGTCCTCCAGCGCTTTCTATCTTTGTAGTTGGTAATTGACACAGTATCCACAGAACTGCCTACGTCAAAAAGCTTTGCCATTTTCCAGTCTTCTCTCTCTAAACAGACACTGAATCATTTCTGAAGTGCGATAAATTGTTTTTCCTTAACTGATGAACCATATTCCATTCTCATAATTCAGGTCCTAAAAATCCCCTTACTACATTGTGAAAAGCCTGCAAAAAAGAAAACAGTGATCATTTGCATGAGCATCACCAGGAAAATGAGTTTTCTATAGGAAAACATGCAACTTAGCCTATCTTCATGCCTTGCTCAATAATGAATGAATTAGTAACTCATCCAATTTGGATCATAGACTTAAATGTGAAAGGCAAATCAATGATTTGTTTAAGAAAGTAAAAGAAGATATTTTCATCCTAGATCTTAAATCAGACTAAAAAAGAACTCTTTGCAATAAAACCCATTAAAATTAAGAAACTGTGATATTTTAAAGATACCATGAGAGTAAGGAAAAGCAAATAATAGCCTGACAGCATATATTTGCAACATGTCTCTAAGCAATTATGCCCAGATCATATCTCAAAATCAATAAGAAAAAGACAAACCATTTTTAAAGTAAAGCTTTGAATAGGCAGTGTCTTAGAGGACATATTTACAATATATCCCCAGCAATTGGCCTCAGACAATCTCAAAATCAATAAAAAGATAAGTAGCCAATTATTATTTTTAAGTTGAGGAAAGGTTTGTATAGGCACTGTACAAAATAAGGGGATATCAAATAGTCCAGTAAGTACAAGAAAAGGTATTTGGCATTGTAATTTACCAGGGAAATGTAAACTAAAGCCTGAAGAGAAATGAGATACTGCTACTTCTCAACCACAATTTTTAAGGCTCATAACATTGTCAATACTAATTGTTGACAAAAATACTGAATTTTCTGACATGGATGGTGATGTATAAATTGATCAAATGCTTTAATATAAATTTATCAAATGCTTTAATAAAGCCATCATGAAACTGAATCACGTCATACTGAACCATAGTTCCTGGATTACTTTCCTGTGAGCTCAAACCAAAAACTTGTTGGCCATATTTACTGAAGCTAACTAGCTTCTGACTCTATAACCTAATAATTTTATTCCTAG